ACTACAATTGCGTAGGTCTTGGCTTCAGTCACATCGACCTCGACTGGAATTACGATTCCATCTATAGTAAGAAGAAGATCATCGACGGCTCCCAGTGGTTGTTTGGAATTCCCGTTTATGTCAGTCATAGAGACGGTGAATTTTCTTTGTATTTTTATTCCTTGGCTTTTTAGAAAATTTTGACTGGCCACACAACCGGAAGCGCCAGTGTCAATGATGAGATCGATGATGGACTTCCCAATTCTAGCTTCACACCAAGCGGAAGTCGTCTTCAATCTTTGTCCCAATATTCCAAGTTTCCATTTGATGGATCATTTGTTTATCGGCTTCCTCATTCCTTTGGACATTTTAATCCTTTGGGCGGACGATGTTTCGATGAGTTGGGTGACGGTGATGTTAGCTTTTATGTTAGCTAGGTCGTCAACGATATCGTATGGAAGGGCGCGAGAGGCAAGAACAGGTAAAACGGCTTTTTCCTTCTTCTTCCGTTTTGTCTTTTCTTTTTCTTCAGGTTGTTCTTCTTCGTTCATTCGACTAGCATCCGCAGATTCGCCAGCTTCGTTAACACGAGTTCTTTTTCGTTCGTCTGTTAGATATTCATGTTCCGCTAGGAGGGCTGTGGTATGGGAAGTGTTATTTATTCATTCATCCCTTTGTTCTTTAATTGTTTTTGTTAACTCTTGTATCTGAGCTAACAATGTGCTTTCTATATTTCTACGATCATTTGTTTGTCCATTGTTCGCCGATCGATTATTCAAATCGGGACGGCTATTGTTTTGCTGGTTGGGAATTTCATTATTTCGGCTGCGCCAATTATTACGGTTATTATTATTGTTGCTACTATTATTCCAGTTATTATGGAGCTGAGAGAGTTTGGGGCAGTAAGGCTGAATGTGTCCTGGCTCTCCGCAATTATAGCAATTGCCATTATTACTATAATTCGGTCGATTCCATGTTGAGCGTTGATTATTTCCACCATTTTGCGGTCGACTTGTCGTTTCCATTTGTTTCAGCCTACGAGCTAGTCCTTGTAGAACGGTAGTGATATCGTTGAGGTTACTATTTGTATTTGTTTGGGTTTGATGATATCCTCGGGTGGTGGTGTCAGCGTCCGCTCTTTCTACATTTCGTGCAACTTCTATCATATTTGCCAATGTTCCGTTGGTGGTCACCTGTACCCATTTTCGAATCACTGGTTTCAATCCTCGTCGGAATGTTCGAGTACGGTAATCCACTGGATAATTGTTCTCCGGGTCGACCTTTCGAAGAAGTTCGATAAACCTGTCAGTGTACGTATCGACACTCCCGTCTTGTTGCAATGTTTCTAGTTCGTCTTGCCATTGATCTACTCGTTTTTGTGTTCTGAATTTTAACGTAAAATGGTGTTTGAAGTCATGGGCGTCATGATGATTGTTTGTCCAATCATTTAACCTAGTGTTATCTTCTCTGGCACGTTCGTCAAATCATGCAGCAGCGGATCCTTCCAAGTATTCACGAACTACTTGAATTTTACGATTATCGGTAATTCTGTTTGCCCTGGCCGCCACTTCGAAGTCGTGTAACCATTCAACTGGGTCTTGGTCGTTTCTCTTATACTTTCGTATGGGAATAATTATTTTTTCAGTGACTCGGTTATTCTGCGCCGTTAACGCATTCGTCAGTTGATTTACAGTGTTCAAAACGGTGTCTATGTTTGCCATTTCGTCTTCTTCTGGTTCTGGAGTTGGTGTTTGAGTTTGATATTGTGATGGTGGGGTTCCTTGTTCTTCGAAAAGATTGTTATTAATTAAATTTTCCTCGTTTTTTTCTGAATGTCTTGTTTCAGAATAATAATCGTCCGAATCGTTCTCAATTTCTTCAATATTAATGTCCGGGGTTGTACGTTCGAAATTTCGCGTATTTCTAAACGCGTTTAATGTATTAATGACTAAACGGGTTTGATCTTCAATAAAGAATGGTTCTTGGAAGAGTAGTGTATTCAATAA